TATCATACACTGCTACATTCATTTTGTTTTTTTATAAGTTTTTCTTCTTTTATTCAAATTTCAAAGTATAATAGTAATGTATTACACAACTGTATAATCTGCATTGTTATGTTATTTTGTCATATGTAACATATATAATTAATATTATTATTTTCTAAATTTTTTAAAGTTTGTTTAGTGTAAAATAAAATAAATAAATAAATATCTTTTTGATGAAAAAAATAGAAATAAAGTTACGTTATTTAATGAAGTTGGCTTCAAAAATACTTGGTTTACCATTATTAGAATTTGATTTGGTATAAACCTATTGCTACAAGCCGATCATAAATATTACTGATTCTAAAGAAGTAAGCACTGCATCACGGAGAGGTCACAAGAGTTCATCGATAAGATCTGTAACATCTACAACGTTCGCCTTGTTCCACGCCTTTCTTTCCGCAAAAAAAAAACTGTATGACGCCGCATCCATTCATTACGCGAGCTCGCAATTACACAAGATCCGTCGTTAACGGTTCCAACGAACATTATCTCAGTGAGTAACATCACTTTCATTCTTCAAAACAATGTTTAATTTCTTTCGCGGGGAAATTGTAACGTTTGTTAGAGTAGTCAGCCGGTAAATATAGGTCCACGGCTTGATTACACTCTTTTCTGTAGATAATAACAATAGGGAAACGTATGTTACGCCGGTTTGAGCACCTGGTCAATTCTATTAAATTTTACAGTAAAAATGAGCAACCAGATTGTGGAAATGCTTTTTTTTTATACAATTTAGAATGGCAAACAAGCTGACGGCCCAACTGATGGAAAGTGGTAACCGTCGCTTATAGACATGAGTAGTATCATGGACATAACAGAGTATACTGCTTCGCCCATGACACCCCCCATGCGTTGCCATTCCTGAGGACTCAGATGTTATTCATCTGTACCCAGTAAATTCATGCCATATCCCACCCTTCAAACTGAAACACATCCATGCAAACACAACTGCTTCACGGTTAAAACACGAATGGGACAGAGGTACCCAAGCAATTGCCTTTTGTACAAAGTCTCCCTCTGGTAGCTATTAATGTATGCCGGCGGGGTTACAATAAATAAATGTACATGATGAAATAAAGTCAATCGATATATTGTACCTTTCGTCCGAAATTAACCATGATGGTTTCCGGGGAGGACCATATGCTGGTTTATAAAGGTACATTATAGCTGAAAGTGCATTAGATACAAGTACCGGGAAAGATCTAGATTTAATAAGATCGGAATCTTCGTATATAATTTGAAACTTCAAAAACGGAATTGATGAGTTATGTGCCTATTTGTACATACATCATACATTAATAATGCATTGAAAAATGTTTGTTTGGATCGAATTTGGAATTTTATCGTTAAGGAAATAAAAAAAAGGGTTACGTATTCATATATCTAGAATGAAATAAAATATCAAACTATATACTAATATATGTAATAAAACTCTCAACTTCCAACATTTATTGCGAAAAATTTCATTTATTTTCATTTCACACTGTAACTAAACAATATACGTATATCTACGCACCGTGCACGTTTGTGTCTTGCAATGCTTTACATTTTTATCAAATATTTTATTTCTTCCCTTTTCATTTAAGAGTTTCCTCTTGTCTTGCCTGACAATTATTATTATTATTATTATTTATTTAAATATATTTAAAATTAGAATGTGATGACGATTAATTGTATAAAATTGACTTGATGTATAACTTTGCACTGTCTAACTACATATGTTTGTATGCCGTACAGGCTAAACATATCGAACGATATTGTATTGTCAACTGTATTGACAGTCTACATGTATTTTTTACGCATGTTTTACAAATAAATAATCTTGAATCTTTTCGTTGCGACTATTTCATGCATTTTCTTCCAGCCAGCTCTATCCCAAGCCATATCTTTGACCTCCCTATATGACATGAGACCTAGTGTTTCCTTTATTGTGCATGTAGTTATTACTCGGTCTTTCCCTTCCTTTTTCCCTTCTATTTTTCTTTCTACTATGTTTTTCAAGAATCGTCGTATCGTATAAGGTGGCCCAGCACTTTGTTCCTTCTATTCTCTTTATACATTTTCTTATACGAGTAATATATAAAAACTCAGCGTGCGAACGACATCGCGAGAACAGTTAGTCGTGATTTACAATTCTTAGTAAAGCATAATTTATAATTTCTTAATGATATGACTGAACACAAGCTGAGTACATCACATACAATTCTATACAGACATTCTAATTGCACATTGTGTATTGAATCATTCGTCATAAGTCGATTTAATTTCATAAAAAAAAAAACATAACTCCCACGAGATTTATCTTCTGGTAAGAAATTATAAAACACTAACGGTTACTTTCATTGCATAAAACATGGCTGTCACTGGGTATTGTTCATCAGTTCTGATCACAATTAGCAGGGTTCCCATCCCAGGGTATCGGAGAAAGTCCTTGGAGCAATTCAAGTTTACTCAACCATTGTTCGCTAGTTTTCGCGTGAAAAGTACAAGAAACTGGCAGGGCGTCGGTATGGATATTTGGTGTTTTACTTTTATTATTACTTTCGAAGGTGAATGGAGATGTAATAAATTATTATAATGCTTCTCAAGTTTACAAAATGGTAATAAATGGACGCAATGAGAAATTAAAGAAGAAAACAGTCAAATGAGTAGGAGAAAATTTTGTTTGAATTTAAAATATTTAGATGACTTGAAATGAAATTATCAATACACTTCCTACTTATATTGGTATTTTTTTTACAACACAGGAGGCAAACGAACATGCGGCTCACCTGACGGTAAGTGACTACCGCCACCCATGATCACCCACCACACCAACGGCATTGCAGGTGTGCTGCCGGACAAATGCTTTATCCATTATGCTTTTCCAAACATAATGGATTATACATATAATGATAATGTATATACATTTCAATTTATCTGGATGAGAGGCGGTCCACCACCGTGCGTTTTTCAAGGCACTTTCTTCCAAGCACAACCACTCTTTGGAATCAACTTCCAGCAGCAGTATATACGAACCGATACGACATATGATGATACCTTAAAAGAAAAGAGCATATTCCTTTAAAAGGCCGGCAGCACACCTGCAATGCCTCTGGTGTTGTGGGTGATCATGGGTGACGGTAGTAACTTACCATCAGGTGGGCCCCATGCTCGTTTGCCCCCTATGTTATAAAAAAAAACTACTTAAAAAAGAGAAGGTTTTTCATTCGAATTATTTGTAAACATGTAGTTTACAATATGGTCACTATTATTATGAATTGATTTTTATGATATGTATTACTTTTTACGTTACGTTTTTAGAAAAACACATATGGTTATCTATTAGAGATTATGCTACCCAGAAAAAGCTGATACAAATCTCCTTACTAATATTATACATATGAAAGTGAGTTCGTTTGTTACCTTATAGCACCTCTACAGTTTAACCAATCACTATGAAACTTGGTATACAGGTAGGTACTATGTGGAATGGTGAAAAATATAGGCAACTTTTTATTGCGTTCAGTAAACATATTATCGCGAAAGAAGTCGCGGGTAAAAGCTTGTTACTATAAAGTGCCCTACATAGTAATTTAGGATAATTATATGTTAAATTTCATTGAAATCAATTGTTTAAACGTCATTAAATAACAAACATTTAATTATAAAATTTACATTTAAAATATTTGTAACATTTCTTTCCATGTTCCCTCCTAGTACCTATTGTCTTATTTCTTCTACCTTTTATCTCAGTCAGTAAATAAATTCTAAATAAGTAATAAATCTAAAAACTAGTAATAAATAATGTGTAAGAGTTTGTTTGAACCTACTAATCACTGAAACTACCCAACGAATTTAAACAATTCCTTTTGTATTTGATAGCTGATCTCTTGAGGACAGCTATACATTATTCAACATTACGATTCGATATCGCAAGATACAGGTAGTGTTTTCAAAGCAATAAATAGTCAACGCAAATCATTTTAATATAAAAATAATTTATTCTGTGAACTTGTTGTCACAATCTGAGGGCCTACCATGAAATATTTTCCGAAATTTCGGGGACGAACGAAATAAATATTTGATGTTAAAATTACATAATACATGCCGTTTAAAATTATTAAAAATATTAAAATATTGTTCCTCTGGACTATTAGGATAGGATTTATGATGAATGAAATGTTAAGCTCCGTTTACTGCGTCGATTTAGGTACAAACAAAAACACGAAATTGAGCCCGAAAATTCGGAATTTCATTTCATGGTAGGCCCCCTGGTTACCGATTTATTTATGTCACATTTCTTTTTCATTCAAATAATGTATAAGTAAAAGTTTTTATTATTCTCAATTATGAATTTACATTTTTTTGTACCTAAATATATATCCTCGTATGTGATCATTATACGATATTAACATTTAAAATATAACTTCACACCCTGAAGCCATTCATACTGTATTTATGACAACAAAATATTTAAGGAAACGACCATTGAAATGATCAAATGGCCAGGAGCCAAAATGCAAAATAATTATCGTTTGCGATTGATATTACGGAGCAATTACAGAGGAATCAATTCGATCGACAGTCCGACATGATTCCGAATCAATAATAATTCCCTTCGGCTCGACGTGTGCTCTATATTTAGCGAACGACTTATAGTTCCATTCACCTCACTTGCAACGTAGATGCCTTGCATCTGTATCAATTGGCATTCGTAAAATATTTACGAGACGATGCTACAGTTACTTTAAGCATTATGTAAATGTACTTCGACCAATTAATACGAGGAAATACGTTCATGACCTGCTAATAACGGATTCTAAGTTAAAAATATAACGTTCATAAATCTAAAAACGGTATTATAAATCCGTGAAGAGCACGCACTCGGTCGAATGTCGAGTTAAAAAGTACGCAGATTTGTAGCGGGGCGCGTTGTAACAATGCTTCTTGGGGGCTTCGCGAGTGGCAACGAGCGCCGCGGCGCCGTCAGTGCGGCCGGCACAACCGCGCAGTCATGCTGTGCCCGGCTCGTTGCTCTTGTTTCCTCTGCCGCGAACTTCAGTCCTGCCGCGCAGCGGACGCGAGGAAACCCCCGAAAAATATGTGCGACAACTTCATCCTTAAAAAGGCCGAGGCCTGGGAACCGATGAAGTTCATTCGAGGGGCCGCTAGACTCTCGGTGAGACATTGGCAGAACAGGGAACCCGTGAACTCCTCTAAGTCGAGAATCGCATCCCATAAATCCACTAGTTGCGAGCAACTCTACCCTCATCCCTCCGAAGAGGACGTAGGCCCGTTTGGGATGCGTAGAGCGCCGAGCACGGACAGAGTGAAACAAATCGAACATAAACCGCTGTTCAAAATTCTTGGGAATTCTCGACTAAAGAAAGTTAGCAACAGTGACGCTTCCGAATCAAAAACAAAACGGAGTGTTTTAAATTTTAGGAAAAGCGATGTAACAAACGCTAAAAATCTTCACGAAAAGTATATACCGTTGCCCCAATCATCGACACCTGAGCATATCTACAGTGAACCTAAACATTGGAACGGCCAGTTCGATGATTGTTGTCGTCCCCCAGTGTATCAAAGTGTAGATAAAACAAAAGAAGAGAACCAGAAAGGATCCGTGTCTGAAAAGAAAATATACAGTAACCGACCACCTTGCTACGAAGAACTAGCTCAAAGGCTCTCTCAGGAGAAAAATAAAAAGACAAATCAACCTATTTCCGAAAATGGCTTGGCAAATAAAATTACACAGAGTAATAATAAAGTGGTTATTTATTTTGGAGATTCCATTATTCGTAAACACAGTGAACAAAAGAGGGAAGAAAGTAAACAGAAGGAAGACATACCTCAAAAAGAGGAAGCGATTTATGTGAACGGTTTGCTAGACGAAACTGCTAATTTGGGATTAAGCAAAGAAGTAGACAAAGGGGGAGGAACACAGATGGTTTCCGAAATTGAAATACCTGAAGCTATTTATTGTGAAGTGAAATCTGAAGATACCAAGAATATTTCTGAAGTTGTGACTATTAACGATGCCACATATAAGAAAGAAGTTTTTGGGACAATGAGTTCTGATGGATTTCTAGTGGTGGAATTTGAAGGAAACTTTGAGAGGGCTCGACAATTGGTGGAACTTGTCCATGGTGGTGGAACTGATCATCATGAGGCCACAGTTCTTGACGAGGATGAGCTATGTGATTGGAGTTTCATTCAAGACTGGAGAAAACGGTATGATTTTTAATTATATTCAATAAAAAAACAAACGGTACAGTTATAAAAATAACTACGTAATAGTTTCGTTTGGCCTCAATTACCACGGCTTCTTTCTAATAGCAGTATTATGTCAATTTAACAGTTAAAAGAATTAAATGTTATTAATTTCTATTTTGATGTATGATAATTAATGCTATAACTAGGTATATTTACGCATGGTAAATTAACTTATCACCTATACTTATTATTCTTTCGTTTTTATTTATTATTTACTTTAATAATAAAAGTTAATCATAGTTTGCTACTAGAATAAAGATTTAGAAAGATTAGTCATGTATTTAAATAGTATCCATTAACAACTATGTATATTCAATAGTCCAGTAATGGGGATGCCCACCATCATTAAAATAAATTTATGATAATATTAATTCATATCTCAAACGATCAACATGCTTATTGCACCCAGCTAGGCGATTGTAAATTCAAATTTAAAGTAAATTAATTATAATTTTTGTTCAACCCAATGATTAAAATCAAATACGTCTATTTACTAGGTGTTAATTTGATTAGTAACACTTTATATATATATATATATATATATATATATATATATATATATATATATATATATATATATATATATCGATGTAATAAATATAATATCCAGTTATAAAACATAACATCGCTACTGTGTCAGTTAAAGTCTCCAATTTCTCATGTTATGTAAATCTAGCATCTGATTCCGCGATACGACGACGGAAAGACTCGTGCTAATTGTAAGCAATGCCGGATAACGATCAGCTTTGTGTTGGTCATCGAACTGGTGCGAGGTTCTTTGTATTTTACATTATACTGATAGACATCTATGCCTACTTCATAACCACAAATAAATAGAATATTCCCAACGTCTAGCAAATATTCAATATAAAAAAAAGAAAAAACTTTATACGTACTCTATTCAGAAGCTAGCTAAGTTCTGTTCATTCCTTTCAACGTATTAACATTAACATTGATTACTTTTGTCTCTCCCACCTTAAGTTTACACACGTTTTGCAATATTTATCAATTTCCTTGAGAATATACATAGCGAAATATCTGTGAGCAATTAAAAAACATGACATTCGTGCAATTTATTCGCAGTTTCATAATAGACGTAAGGCCTTTTTTTTATCTGCTTAATTATCTGTACTTTCATGCTTAACATTGTTAGAATTGAAGTTGTTATACATTTTTTTTTTATTCTAAATTTCTAATTGTTACAATCTTTTCAACTACCTGCGCGAAAAAAGCATATTTATGCATCTTTGACGCGATTTATAATTCATTTCTTATCTGATCACGTTTACTTACACCATTTCCTAATTATATAAGCAAACTAGCGACCCGCCCCGACTGTGCACGGCTGCATTAAAAATAAAATACTACTCACACTTGCTGATAATATAGCTTTTTAAAGGTGAAACAATTTCTAAAATCGGTTAAATATATTTCTGAATTTATACATTACAAAACAAAAATTAAATCTTTCCTCTTTATAGAGTTTAGATTTTTAGATGTTTCTGTTATTCTCGGTTGAACATGTTATTTAAATTTAAAAGTTATTTTTGTTTGAGAACGTTTTTATGTTTCTTTTTATTAAGCGAAACTCCTGTTTGTTTCCATTTCAATTTTGTCAATATGTATGACCTTTTTTTATATAGAACAAGATTCTACATTACGAAAATTCTTAATCCCATCTTAGGTAGTCGTATTAGATCAATCATGCTTTTACTGACCACAGATTATAAGAATCGTGTATCTGAAAACTTACTCTTTAGGATTAAATTGTTTGAGGTTACTATTAAAAGGTGCATGTAATGATTATTTACAGTCTATTACGTCTTATCATTAATAAAAATATTGTAATACTTAAACGAGTATTGTAATAAGATATCTATTGTTTGAAAATATTATTCTATCATAGCTTTTTATCCGCTGCTTCGTACACGTGACTTTAAAAGTAAAAAAAAATAATTACACTACTTCTAGGCGGCGTTGCGTATTAAGATTAAGAAAACCTACACTAGAATTTTACACCTTCAGGAATACAACTATGATTCCAGGAGGAGAAGGGATTGTTAGTAATGCGAATTATCAGTTCCATTGCTAATAATATACCCTAACAGGTCGACCTCCCCGTGGTCTCCCCTGGAAACCATCGTGCTGAATTCCAAGTGTATTCATCACGATGGGCCAACTGACCTGTCTTTTCATCCTCGCCTATCATCTATCACTGGTGCCCCGCTAGCGTATACCCTAAGCGCAGGCGGGGTTACCATTCCATTATCATCCATTAAAAAAAAAAAACTATGATTCCAGTCTGAATCCACATCCAATTTGGTGTAATCATTTTTGCATGATACCAGAACAAAGAGCGTCTAGTTTCGATTTTATTATTTTAGTAAGATACATGGTTGGAAAATCATCAAAACAAACAGAAGGCCGTGAAGGGCATTCAGGGGCGGTACATGCAGACCTAATAACTGTTATTCAACAAAACATTTGTTATTTTTATGAATTTTATCCGAAAAACCAATGTAATAGAGTGCAGTATCGTTAAATTTGAATACATGATATGGCTTTGTACCGAGTGAGTTGTTTGTTTGTAACTTGGCATCATTGTGTTCACGCATCAGTGATAATCACACTTCGTTCGCCTCTCTTCACCTAACCTATTGTGTAATATATTTACAAACTTCACTTTTTAGTGTACTCATATGATGTTTATTTTATTACTCCTCTCCACCCTAAGGTTGTCTGGAAGAGATCGCTTTTTTACCATAAAGACTGCCTGTTATTGTCTCTTTACCATGCTTCCTGTAATGCTAAATTTTTATCTACATATCTGTTCTCTCTTTCAGGGGAACAAAACTTAATTTCCTTTAATTAATTGATCTTATTGATAGTTTATACTGATGCTTTGCTTGTGATTTTACGTTACATTAATGTGAACAAATATAGGTCTACCAAAATCTGATGGCAAAAAGGGAAAAAAGAAATTAACGCTAGCAATACTGGGGAAATTGGAGTAAAACGTTTTGATACTTTTTTTTTCCTTATAGCGCCTGATTCTGCGTGTGATATATGCAAATATAAAAATTTATCCAATAATCAAGGATAATTTTTGAAAATCTTACTGCGGCGTATGTGGGGTTCGAAATCCAATTCTCTGTTCATGAGTTTATTAATTAGTTATAGGCTATCAGATCGTTTTGTTCTCAATTTTTAAACCGACTTAAAACGGAGTAATTATTATATTTTTATAGTCTTTTAATAATAAATGGTTTATTTAATTATTGCAGATGCAGATGATTCATAATCAGACAGCCATTATTAAACAATACTATTAATCAACCAATCAGTGTCCACCTCTAGTGATGTCCCACATATACTAGTGATGTGATCTTACAACAGTGTTTCAACCGTGAAGCAGTTGTGTTTGCATGGCTGTGTTTCGGTTTGAAGGGTGGGATATGGTGTGAATTTACTGGGTACAGAGGAATAACACCTGAGTCCTCAGGAATGGCAACGCATGAGGTGTACCATGGGCGAAACAGTATACTCTATTATGTCCATGGTACTGCTCATGTCTATAAGCGACGGTTACCACTTTCCATCAGGTGGGCCGTCAGCTTGTTTGCCATTCTAAGTTATATAAAAAAAATGTACCTACAACTTACAATCTCCTATTCATAAAAATAAATACACCTATGTCACTTCGGCTTACTGTATGTACATCATAACACAAATTAATTACGTAAAGCGAAATCATTTAATCTCTGTTCAAAATTGAATGGTAGTATGTAACAGAAGTTTTAGTTACATAAAGTGTACGTACGGTGCAAGTTCTTTCGTTTTCTACGAACTCATTACAAGTTGTATTGGTGAAGAACTTGTTATGAAGAATAATTAACGAATTTGAATTCTAATGATATCAATTTAAATTATCTTTTTCATTGTCAACAATTTTTTAAATGATGCAAAAAAATTTTAGGCTGGTAATACTTGTTTCGATTCGTGATAAAAAAAAAGAAATTAAATTCCTTTTTTGAAAATTACGAAAATTTAATTTCAAAGCCGTTCAAGGTAGTGAAATTGTGTGTGGACTAACAGTATCAGTTTTATTTTTGCTATTGTTATGGGTTTATTTTATTTTATTTCTGAAATAATCTACTCTAAAATTCTACAAATCCGTACCTAGACATGTTTGTTGAATTTTTAATACAAAAACCTCAGTTATACTACTGTTTTTGTGTCACGTGTCACATTATACGAGTAAATTTGTTTTACTCAGCTAATCTTCGGAAGCAATAATTATAACATTTTTATAAGTGGCAACTCAAGTCATTATAAAAGTTATATATTCTTTATTGCACTCAAACAATACATGCGACGATTAGTTTAACAACTTGTTAGCAAGGGTGGACTTATCTCTGAAAGAGATCTCTTCCAGCCAACCCAGTGTAGTTAGAGAGAAAATGATTTAATTTGGGTAATCCAGTGCAGGAAAGGTACCGGTGAAAATAATGTAAATACAACAAACACAAATTGTGAATAAATATATAAATAAATACGTAAATAAGTAAATAGATAAATATATATACATATGTATAAGTGCATAGAATTGTCAAGTACAGTTATCAATGGAATATTACGATACAATACATACATACATATCTGTCACGCCTGTCTCCCATTAGGGTAGGCAGAAACAATGGAAAGCCAAATGCTTCGATTCGAACAAACCTCTTTCGCTTCTTCCACATTCATCAATCTTTTCACACACGCTCGCCGGTTACGGGTACTTTTAATTTGGCCCTTCTTCAGCACGTCGCCTATTTGGTCGACATACGTCCGTCTAGGGCGGCCCCGGTTCTATTACGGTACAAATTACTGCTTAATAACATTTTGAATAGATCAATTAAAAGTAAGTAATAGAGTGCATTTATTTTCTAATGACCATGGTCAGTTAACAA